GCTCTGAAGAGCCTCGGAGTGGCCTCGGCTTCAGCAGGTCGCCAAGCAGTCTCGGTCTGTGCTCTTTGTAGTCCGCTCGGCTCTTCAAGGTAAAGTCAAGAAGCAACTTCCTCGGGGGTTTCGTTCTTATGCACCTCCTTTCCTGTACTCGACTTCATCTTCAGCCACTGAAGAGCCAGGGAAATCTCCATGACAATGGCGTAGTAGGTCCCGTCTGTTGCAGTAAAGTTAACGAAACAACAAACAGCGGAAGTTTTGTAATAAGCGATGACGCGCGTCGAAGTCACTGTAATTCCCCTGCATCTAACTTGAAGTGCTCAGAGGCACGACGCCGAAAAATGCGTCGTACGAACTTCGTGCCACGCCGTGATCTACCTCAAATGACGTGGCCCCTGGGAAAGAGAGCGGCAGATGGCCGGGAGTGGAGTGTCAGCTCGTACACGAGGAAGTTATTTGCTGGCTGGGAGCGCAATTTTCGTTACCTCTCAAGTACAGCAACAAGATAAACATTGTTTTAATGTGTGTGTCAACAAGCCAGAGGCCGAAGGATTCGATCGCTTGTTTTCCTCCGACAATCTCTCTCTCTCTCCTTGTCTGCATGCGCGTGTTAGCCTCTTCACTCCCCGCAAGTCATCTTGCGAAGGAATGCGGACAAGAAGATGAACTTTCAGACACATAAACCACACTCTCTTCGTGTAGAACGAAAGCCAAAGCTTTGGAATCTCGAAGACGACGCTGCACAGTTCTAAGGTCCTATCACGCCAGAACTGGTTAATCCTGGAGCAGTTAAAAGTAATTCGGTTCAGCGGTCTGAGTTGTTTCGGCGGTGAACTAACTTGTCGCTGGCCGAAATTGCAGATTGCGCGTTTTGTTTCTTCGACTTTCACGAAACAGCCCTTCTTCACGGTCTTGAAGAATCTGTTGGTTTCCATTCTCACCGCGGCTCGTGGAGGCGATGACTTGACTGCAGGAAACATTGACGTAGCAGCGCAGGTCATTTCGTGTACACGTGTAAAATGAATTTTAAGATATTCAGCCATTTAATAAGAATGACAAGAGCGGATAGTTATGTAGCATGAAAAGTACAAAACTGTTCGAAAACTCGTTTTGCGACTAAAATTTTGTATTTTGTTTCTCTAAATCGGTGAATTCAAAGTACGTTTTCCTAAGAACGCACATACGAGGATTCCTTTGCCGATAGTTTAAGAAAGGAAGTGCCGTTTTGTTAGGGATTAAGATCGTGGGCGAGAAAGCGGGTTTTTGACCTTTAGAGCACGTCAGGAATTGTATATTTTGTGTACTAAATTTTACGGCAGACATAACTTGAAGTTGCCAATTAAAAAAGGAAAAATCTGACTTGCTACGAACGTGGAAGACCTTTCTCGTATTCTTTTTAGAGTGACTGTGTCTTATGTATGCAGAACCACGCACAAACTTGGACTCGTGGATATTCAAATCCAAGGACTTTATAATATTTATAGTTTAATTCTCAGAACCTTTACTTTATTAACCTGTTCATCTGCAATTTTCCTTGGCTTGACTGCATTTTTGTGTTTCCTTTCTTCTTATTTGATTCAGGGCGGGTCCGTAATGTATTACGAGATTCCTCCTTCATTCCGCTGACGGCACGGCCTTGCCACTTTGAGGGCGGGGCGGGGGGGGGGTCGCTGTTCTACCGTATCACGATTATTAATCACCTGGACCTGGTAGGCCTTTCAAATCTTCTATCTCAGGGCGCCCTCTTCGGGTCTTTCGGCATCGTTTCGACGAGAAGACAAGCTAATTCTGGTCGTCGACCGACGTTGTGGAATAGTTTCATCAGTGAGATCCCGCGTAACGCGGTCGTGGCAAACGGAATGTTAATGAACGTTCTTGTGGCAAGAGACCAATCGGAGGATAGTGACGTAGACGGGGGAACATCGCCGAAGTCTGCCTAGAGAAGTAGGTTGCACAGAATGTTCTGACTCGAGTTAATGGCGGTGGATCGAAGTGAGGTTATGTCGGCCACATACGAGTTACACGTCGTTCAGTTGTCAGCCTGTCTGCCTTCAATTGCTCAAGACTGAACGGCATTGAGCTTGCAACTCCCTGGGCGTCTGGAGACCATTCAGTTTTGGAAAGAAGCTTCACGCTCCTCCCTTCTTTCAAACAAAGTACGGGATTTTAAACTGTAATTCTACTTGTTTTATGCCAGAAATTCGAAATAGTGTTCAGATTTTAAGGAAATTGAACACTTCGGCCTTCTTCATGGCGTCATCCGTCACTGCGCACCCCAGAAGCCGACAATCAGCGCTGAGCACAGACCGCGCCAAATGCGGCACCGCGTACCATTCCAGTGTGGGTGACGAGGGAGGACGGAGAGATGACAAGATGGCTGCGTCGCGTCTCTTCCTTTTGTCTTGTGCTTCTCCGCGAGTTGTCTTTTTCTTCCTCTCGATCGCCGATGAGACGGGGCTGACCGAACCCTGGGAAACATCGGACGCTGTCAGAATTTTTAATTTTCCAACGAATCGTTCGTTTCCAGGTGCACACCTGTTGCTGCTTTGCCTTCGGCGCGCTTGTACAGCCGAAGCAGAAAACATTGGTCTCACACGAAATACGCGTGACACTTGAAACTCTGCCCCGGTCTGGACACTTCCGCGCACGTGTTCTTTTGTGTTCGAGGGAGCGGATCGAACTTCGACGCGTTTTCGTTTGCGCTGCAAAAAAACTGTACATTTTCACATGTTATGATAATTACCGTCAGGGCCTGTTAATCCGACGTGGGGGGGGGGGGGGGGGG